CAGCCCCCTGTAACCGCCGCAATCAAGACTGAACAATCCGGCCCAACTGAGAGTATTATTGTGAACGATACTAATGTTTCTACTTCATGTGCAGATAAAGTAACAGTGCAAGATGGGTTCGAGCAGAACAAAAATAATTCTAGTTCTGTTGAAAATGCTTCAAAAACTTGTCATGATAATAATCCTACTGTTGAAAAATTCAAGCTACAAAAATTTGTTAAACAGTCTAATAAATGTGCATGTGCTTGTGCTTGTGGAAGTTCTTTGAAACAAACTTCATTTGGACAAGGACCATGTTACAATCTTATTTATTTGAAAAGACAAACGTTTTTTAACTGTGGGACTCCCGGTCACATTGCTAGAAATTGCCCACATGGTTCATATGTTCCCTATTATGAACAAGGTTGGCAGAACGTGCCAAGGGGGAGATCTTCCAAAAGAAATTCATCGAGGTCACGTTCAAGCAATGGTATTGGAATGCTCAAAAGACCAAAAAACAAACTCTCCAAGACAAGAAGATTGATTTGAGAGATAACTTTGTCAAACCAAGATCGGTAAGTTCGAAGTCATCTCGACGATCGGTCTCAAGCTCCAAAATAAGTGTTGAAGCGTCCATCCGATTAAACAAGAAAATGGTTAAACCTGACTACAAATTGGTACCAAAAGTTCTCACTCCCAAATCACCTAAAAATTCTAACATCTCTTCATTTTTTGTGTTTGATAAACATGATATGACTTGGGAATGCGTATCATGCGTAGATGGCAAAGGTCAACCCAGTTTCAAAATGGAGTGGGTTCGCAAAACCAATTAATCCCGCACTCTGTGCCGGAGTAGCTATGGAGGAATATCATCAGACCTCGGTATGTTGATAATGACTGTTCCAGGCACACGATAGGAGACATCTCTCATCTGCATGACATTCAAAATTTTAATGGAGAGCATGTGTCCTTTGCGGAAAAGGGAGAAAGAAAAGATCACACAAATGGGGACCGTATTTAACGGCGTGATGAATTTTGAATAAGTTAACTTCGTTCCATAATTGAAACACAGCTGAGGTTGAATACGTCGCTGCTTCTGCTTGCTGTTCTCAAGTCATCTAGATGCAACTTCAATTGCTGAATTACGGTTTGAATTTTCTTGACACTCCTCTCTTCTGTGATAATGATGCTGCTATTCAAATTGTTAAAAATCCAGTTCAGCATTCTAAAACCAAGCACATAGATATTACAGTTCATTTTATACGAGATTGTTTTGAGCGTAAACTGGTTCATGTGGAACAAATCCACACTGATAATAATGCGGCCGATTTATTTACAAAACCTTTTGGAAAAGCTCGTTTTGATGTGCTTGTGAGTTTTCTTAAAATGATTCGTTTTGAAGACTGACATAATTTTTTTTTTGTACATTTTGTATTTTATTTTTGTTTTCGTTAAATTTGTTCATATTTTTTTTTCTTTCTCCTCTATACACAAATTTAAGGGGAGAATTAAAACCAAACAAAAATCATAAAATTCAAAAAATATGTTTATTTCTGTTTTTTTTTCTTTGTCTAGAAAATCCTAAAAATCCAAAAATATTGTGTTGAGCGTATTTTAATTTTATTTTTATTCTTAGTTATTTTTATTTGTTTTGTGTGTGCTAAGTTTATTTTATTTTTATTTTTTTATCTCAAAAATTTCATTTGTCTTAAAACGCGAATTCAAAAGAAAAGAGACCCAAGGAGATTGTGTTGGAATTTTCTGTGCAAGAAGAGACCTCGAAAGTAATTGACGGACATTACACTTCACGCTACTTTCACAAGGAACTGAAGGCATGAAACTGTACAAATTGTCAGTTATGCAGTATCTTTGTAAGAACTGTCGTATTTAAGGAATTGAAAGTTTGAAACTGTACAGATTGTCAAAATTGGTCTTGTCAGTTATCTTTACCTAAGAACTGTCATGGCACCAGGGCGATTCACCCAATCAGGAAACAGATATCGCTGAACATCTTGCCCAGGGTCTTGACATTCTTTTGGCAGATCACTTGACTAAAGGTCTGAAAAGAGACTTAGTGCACAAGTCTGTAATCGAGATGGGAGCGCCATTATTTCACAAAATCAACCGAAATCACTCCATTCATGCTTAGTTCTCTAATCATACTATGTCTAACACCTAGGTGTTTAGACTTGCCATTATAAACTTGGCTGTATGCCTTAGCCAAAGCGGTTGCACTATCACAAAGGATATAATAGGTGTTATCGGTTTAGACCAGAAAGGAATCTCATATACTAAATTCCCTTAGCCACTCTGCTTCTTTACCAGCAGCTACTAATGCAACAAACTCAGATTCCATTGTTGTGTTTGTAATGCAAGATTGCTTCTTGGAAGACAAAGAAATGACACCTCTTCCAAACAATAATACCCAACCAGAAGTTGAGGAATGGTCCTCCATGTTGGTTATCCAACTTGCATCCGAATGACCTTCTAAAACTGAAGGAATCCCCAAGTAACTCAAACCATAACTGATGGTTCCTTTGAGATTACTAGTGCACCTGCTCAACTTGCCCACAACAAAAGCAATATCAGGTCTGGTACTTGTCATGGCATACATCAAGCTACCAATAGCCTTAGAGTATTTCAATTGTGAAATGGGAACGCCATTAATTTGGCATTAATTTCACACTTGGATCCATATGAGTACTCACAGGAGAACAATCGGTAAAATTAAACCGCTTGAGAATTTTCTCAATATAATGACTTTGTGTCATTACCAAACCTTTGTTCATCCTTTTAATTCTTATTCCAAGAATTACATCAGCATCTCCTAAATCTTTCATGGAAAACTTAGATGATAACAATTTCTTTGTTTCATCTACTTGATTTTGGTCGGTACCCAAAATCAACATGTCATCTACATATAAGCAAATGATCACTCCAACTCTAGTAGCATCATCAAATCAACTATAAACGCATTTGTCACATTGGTTTGTCTTGAAACCAGAAGACAAAATGACCTCATCAAACTTTTGATGCCATTGTTTAGGCGCTTGTTTCAGCCTATACAAAGATTTGACAAGTTTACTAACCATATGCTCTTTATCGGGCATAATAAACCTTCTGGTTGTTTCATGTAAACTTCCTCGTCAAGATCACCATTTAAAAAGGTTGTTTTAACATCAATTTGGTGAATAACCAGGTTGTGGATACTTGCTAAGGCAATCAATAATCTAATAGTAGAAATACGTGTAACTGGAGCATACGTATCAAAATAGTCAACACCAGGTTTTTGTCTACAACCTTGAATGAATAACCGGAATTTGAATTTTTCAATAGTCCCATTAACATTCATTTTCTTTTTGAAAATCATTTGCAACCAAGTGGTTTAGAACCTGGAGGCAAACCAGACAACACATATGTGTTGTTCTCAAGAATTGATGACATTTCATCATCAATTGCTTCCTTCCAAAAGGCACTATCGCGAGACTCCATGGCCTCTTGATATGTCTTAGGATCATCTTCCATAAAATATCAATAAGAGTATTCAATATTAATTTCATCCCTTGAACCTTCTACCAAATACAGTTGGAAGTCGAATCCGAAATTTTTAGCAATTTGGCCTCTTTTGCTTCTACGAAGCTCTTGTGGTTCTTGCACGTTACCACCATCTTGACTTTCTGAATTTTTCACTTTATTTGTACCAAAAGTCAGATCCTTAGGCCTTTGAATCGATGAAAAACGCATCTCATCAAAAATTGCATCCCGTGATTCAATAACGGTGTTAATCGAAACCGAATCATTAGGTTCTATTACATAAAACCTATATGCCTTGGAATGTTCAGCATATCCAATGAATATACAATATGTTCCACATTCCACCAAAATTTTCTTTTTGGGCTCGGTGAGTTTTACAACTGCTCGACATCCCCAAACCCGAAAATAACTTAGATTCGGCTTTTTGTTGAACCAAAGTTCATATAGGACTGTTTTGTTCCTTTTATTTGGAACCCTATTTAATATATAGTAGGCCGTTAACATGGCCTCTCCCCATAATCCATCACTCAATCCCGAGTATGACAACATCGAATTTACCATTTCCTTTAATACTTCATTTTTGCATTCAACAATACCATTCGGTTGGGGTGTGTAAGGTGTCACTACAAGAAAAAGACCCTTTTACGACGCGCAAACCACGACACTCATTGATTTATGTTACAAAAAAGAGAGTGACATTAAAAAAGTGTCATCTCTTCAAAAAAATATAAGGATTTAGGTCACGCATTATTGCGTGCCCTGAAATTAGTGTCATAAGAAAAAAAATTAAAAACACGGAGGGCGCTGTATCTTAAATGCGCGTCCTCTAAAAGTGTTGCTTTATAATTTTAATGAACGCGCGTTTAGTAGATACGGGGGAAAATGAAATCCCCAAAATTTTCAAAACCCGCCTTGTTCTTTTCTACCTTGTTTCTATCTTTCATCGTCGCAATCGATTCTCCTCTCTCCCTCCTCTCTGATCTGCTTCTCCGCTACTCCTGACCTTACTTGTTAATCGTCTCATCGGATCTCTACTCTAGTGTCACTCTGAAGATCAAGAAATTTCAGGCCCTAGTCTCCCTCTGAGACAGAGACGAAAAGAGAAGAAACATGAAGAATACACCTATCGTTGTTACGACTTATCATGCTTCTCAAAGATTCTCAAAGCTTTTGATAAGAACACCGACTCAGATGCTTCTCAAAGCTTTTGATAAGCACACCGCCGACTTTGCATACCAGAACATCTCATAATCTTCTATTTATCCACCTGTATTTCTTGCAACAAGTGTAATTTTCACTCTCTAAACCTCACTCCATATCTCGATTTGTATGATTTATAGCCCTAATTTAAATTTCTAGATTTTGCAGATGCTCGCATGCCTTTTTCCGGTCATCCTTCTACCTAGGTGTTGTTTCTTTCATCGGTCCTTTCGATTGGTCTTCTTCTTCATCACCATCTACTGAAAGACTCATTGATTTTGGCAATTATGGCTTCGAATTCAATTCCATCCAATTCTCCACCAGGTTTCTCATCTGTTCTCCATAAATCCCCCTTTACCATCATTACGTCTGCAACCACACAACAACCACTCACCACCGTTCGTAAGTCCATCACCACCTTCTGAAGCAGGTTGAAATAGGAACCGACAATGCGAATGCTGAAGTTAGAGTGATTCCCGATGTTCAGGTGAGAATATTTCCATTTACGTATATAAATCTCGATTGTGCTCTCTTTTCTCCTCTCTCATCCTAACATCGCCATATCAATATTGAATTGAAATCTTCTACAATTTCTTCTAGGGATTTCTCTCCTTAAACCCAGAAAAAGCCTCTGTTTCTGGGTTCTTTGGAAGATGTTTAGGTTATTAATAGTGGCTCTTCATTTGATCGAGGTAGGTGAGTATTTTACAATCCCTCTCAACAAGATAGAAGACTTTGGTGCTCACATTACAAACATATGAGTCATATGGATAACTGTATTGAGCTCATGTTTTGATTTCTGTTCTTGGTCAAAGTTATTGGGAAAACTAACAATATCGAGTTTAAAGGTTATAGATTAAGCCAAAAGTAATTAGTTATCTCACTTCTTTTCTCTTTGTATTTATTTATTTGTACAGTCAACACACTACTGATGTTAACTTGTGAAATTTCATCCACTTATACTTTTTTTTTGTTTTCATGCTTTTCTCATATATAAAATATCTTTGATTCGGTTGCATTGTGCAGCGAACTCAAGTTACTTACAGTAGATTTTTGATCTCTCTCTTATTGTTGTCTGAAAATGATACATAAAAACTTTTATTTTATTTCTAACAATGTTAAATTCATTTAAACCTTATGATATATCTACCACTATTTTGTTATCAGGCAACAAAAAGAAGAAGCCCTTTCTTTTCGTGTAGCCAAAACTAGTGAAGTCACCCAAATTGAGAAGGTATGACCTTTCAAATTCTCATATTATGAACCACTTCAAGAATACTGAAAATGTCATTGCAATTTCCAGGAGTTGGGAGCTGAAATTAATGAACTTGAAAAGCAAAGAGACAAACTTGAAAGTGAATTAAAGAAGGTGCCTTCAGCCTTCTTATTAATGAGCATCATATATATATATATATATATATATATATATATATATATATATATATATATATGTCAGTGTGATTGTTTGAAAGTAACTCCATGTCTTAGGTCAACAACTTGTTGGCTGTTGCAAATGGTCGTCTTCAAAATGACACAGAAGAAAGGGAACATTTTGATTATGCTAATAATCAACTTCTTGTACACTTCAAGTCAAAGGTTGGAATGTCTTGGTCCCGATACAATTTAAGGTTTAAAAAACTTAAGATAATTTCATGACACTTTACAATTCCATGTTATAAACCCTAATCTAAATTTCATGATCATGATTCATGTCATGAGAGGATGAACTCTCGAAAACAATTATTTTGTATAGAGTAGAAGCAGATACTTGTAATGCATTTGTTGAGTTTCTAGAAGCTGCTTGGGATTTCCAGTATTCTTTTATGGAGGAAAAGGAAAAGAAGGTCAAGTATGTAATTTCTAATTATGTCCATATTCAAGTGTATATATAAATTCTCTTACTGAAAAATACCCTGTTTTATTCGACATACTCAAGTGATGAATTAGAGACTCATGAAGAATACTTTATAAATGTGGCTAGGGGTCTTTTATCTGCTTACAAGTTAATTAATTATAAACTTGTTAAACTCCATTTTTACTTACCATGTAATCTATAATCTCATTACATCTTACTTGTTTTGTGTATATATATATATATATATATATATATATATATATATATATATCTTGTTCTTTTAAGGATGCACTAGGACCCGCTATTGCCATTTTGAGGGAACATGCGAAGAACTTGAAAAGGTAAGAATTTCTTTTTGATTGTAAATTAGTTTATGTGGATAGAAAAAGAAAAGTTCTCTCTATCTCTCTCCCCCCCCCCCCCCCTCTCTCTTTAATAAAAAATATTAAATTTGGGCTTACAGTTTTGGTAATGTGGTAGGCATGAGAAAGCAATTGACCCACATGAAGAATTTTTACAAGATAACGAACAAAGAAAAAGCCTTGAACATGCATATCTAGCTGCAAAAACCAAGGTATATTTTAATTTTACACCTTTTGATTATTTATTGGCCTAAAAAGTAAAAACACTGAAGCACTTTTTTACTGTTTTCATTTGGTGCAAGTTCTTACTATCTTTTGTGCAGTAGATAGTGTTAAAGAGCAATTTTACCATGCAATTGATAATGTTTTTAGGCAAGATGAATTCATTTAAGTTTTTTTTCCAATAATAAATATAACAATTTTGTTTGAATGTGTTGGTTGATGTTGAGCAGGAAAGTCTTCCAAAAATAAACATAACAATTATCTGTTATAATGTATTTTGTTTATATATGCTTTTCATCAACATAATTGCTTCTTCTTTGTATGGCTAGTTCTCCTCTCTTGACCATGGAGTAAGCAAGCTGTCTCTTCTATCAAAGGTTAGAATTGCGAATTACAATCAAGACATGTGATTAGTTGTATATGTTGAGCTGTAGATTATTTGGCATTTTTTGCAACAGGTGTTAGCAGTGATTGTGAGATTCATTTAAAAGGATGCAGAGGAGAAGAAAACATCATTCAACCCCAGACCGTATTATTTAAGGTTATTCATTGATTGGCTGCTTGACCTTAGTACCCTTGATCCGGTTTTTGAAGGTGCAAACTTTCAGGTGGGTATTCACTTTTCTCTTTTCTCTATCATATCATCTTGTATTGTATTGAATGTTAAGTTACCGATTTGCCCTGTGCAGCTTTTGACAGCTCTAGCAACCTCCTTCCATACCCTGCAACCTCTCAAAGTTCCTGCATTCAGGTTATTCTCTTAGAAAGGAAATTGTCAAAGGAGATTGTCAAAAGAGAACTTACTCATGCAGAGGAGAAGAAACATCATTCAGTCTGTTTACAAAGTGTTCAATTATTATTTCATCATGAATCCTCAACTGTGTTTTTATATTTATTTATTTATTTATTTTGGGTGTATTTATATTTTACAGTGGATTGGAGGTGTCTAAAAAGCTGAAAAATCTTACATGCTTCTTGTTTTAATATTTTATACAGGTATGGGCTGTATTGAAGCCTGGATTCTTGGCAAATGGTATTTTACTACATGTGTATTAAATTTTAATATTTTATAACATAGATTGATGGTGCTTGAAGCCTTTTTGAATACTAATGTGTTGATGATGAAAATAGGTATCATGTGGAAACAGAAGAAGCATAACAATAAGAAGTAGAAACAAGAAGATGTTCCTTAATAGCAATGTAGTATTAGGTTATATAGTTAGTGAAAACCTCTTAATAGCAATGTACAATCAAATCCCCTTAATACCAATGTATTACAATTTTTGACATGATGTTATTGGATGAAATTGATTGTTTTGATATATATTTGTTTCCATATTTTTGTATTATGCGTAAATGAGTATAGTAAAGATGTGTCGTAAATGTATATCGTAAATGGTTGTTGAAGTTTATGTGACATCCCAGAATTTAGGTCTGAATCTATAAACGGTCAGTTCACCGCAGACCCTTTTGTATCTTGACCGATTGAATTTTAATGCATATTTTAGTTGAAATATAGTGTCATTTCAAATAAAATAATATATGAAATTATATCTTATCTCAAATTATAGAAAATATTGATCGAAACTTAAAACGCAAACTGTAACTCTGGTTAACGACGGAAAAACTGAAATATTGTATTAAGCGTCTATAAACAAAGAAAACATTCTAGACTCGTAGTACATGTTTTCTTGATCGCGAATATATAAACGACGCCAAAAACAGAGTCCGTGTGCAAAAGATATGACCATTTTAAGAAACCACACCGGTATAACACTACCTTTATCCGATTTCATAAACCGAATTGATCAGTTGAGGCCCTTGCGCACATCAAATGAAAATTTCGAAAGCGTTTGGACTCATACTAAAGTCTAATATACACAATGCTATAGTTAAAATATTTTTAACAAAATATTTACAAACTCGAAAAAATAAATAAATAAATAAATTTGTTCGGGTTTCGGAGCCGTTGAACTTAAAATTATTATTCGCCATGTACCCTTTAATTTATCTAAAAGAATAATAGAAAATAATACTTAAATAAACATAACAACCATGAATAAATAAAATAAAAGTAATAATACGATGTTTATTTAAATAAATTTCTTTCACATGACAGCCATATTAGTCTTAGGGGCAGATTTGTAATTTCCTGAAACTAATTTGGTGACAATATATGAGATTAGGTGGGATTGGTTAGAGTGCCAAATTACAAGGACCATTTATGCCGAAACTAGGAAGATTGTGTCTTCTTCCTCACTGCATACGAATGCATTATGCAGTTTGCATATGACTTAATCCTTTTTCCTCCATTGATAACTGATGCAAAAACGAATCTTAGAAAGCCAATTTGACTTACCCCTCAAATGTTATCCCTTTAACTTATCTGATAAATCTCTTTCCATTCCTTATCTTAAAAGCTCAAATCGTTGGTGAAATAGGAATCCCGATTTGAAGTTCCACAATATCCCCACCATAAAAACAGCATTGCACCACCGTGAACCGCCTACCCACTGTAAGCCCTTTCTCCATCACCATCATTCATGTTTTAGCCCTTACGAACAACCAAGGCCAAGAGACCCGGCAGATGGGTCTCGTTTTCCTCCATTCGTCTGTGAATCACGTCCAGATGAGGAAGACGATCTGTTCAAACTCCATTATACTTTACTTAATTTAAACCCTGTGGTTTCCAAATGTTACGACTTAGCCCCTTCTGTGAAATAAGTCAACAATAAAGGTCAAAGTCCCATTAAAATTTAACAGATTAGGCCCCTCCTCCAGAAGCCTTAACAAGTTCGGTCCTGAAGCTCTAAATCAGCTTCAAATGTACATGTTTAGCCCCTGGTTTAAGCACTGTCTGCAAGATCAGTCCCTGGAGTATGATTTTGGCAAAAATCAATCCCTAGAGTTTATTTATTTTAAAAAAAAGACCACCCTATGCTTAATAATAATACCAAAGCTACCCTTTTGGTTTATTAGGTAATATAAATAGAACCGGTGATTCGTTTTAAGGGCATGTGACGTCACGAAACGACTTTCACGACAAATTCACTCTCGAGCCTCGTTCACGCTTCAAGGGTGAGTGTTTACGACCCCCTTTTAATATTTTTACGCTTTGGGGGAGAATACATGTGTTATATATATATTTATTGATCTTGACAAACACTTACCGATTTCAAAACTAGTTTATAAATATTATTTTATTAAATAATACTTCATATACAAATAAACTAATAAATAAATATGTTTGATGTAAATATGTTACATTTGCTTTTAAATAATACAACTAGTCGAGATAACAAATGATTTCTGCATACAAAATATCATGATTTTATGAAAAGATATGTTATAAAACTTATGTCATAAAAAGTTACCACATTTGTAGTATTTCAAGCGCATATCAAACATACACATATGAGTTATCAAACTCTTGTCTTGAAATCATTTATTTATTGTGTACACTACCATGAGATTTACCACTTATTTGAACGAGCATTACACATTTTTATGGATTTTCTTATCGAGTATAACCGGCTTTTCATGACAAACTCTAGTTAAGGGCCTTATGAGTGAGACATTATTCATTACCCTAAGTGCAAACAAACACTTAGAAGACCCACACCACTATAACCGTTAATCTTCGGAGCTGAGATACGTATGTATAGATCTATACGGGTTGACACCCCCACCCGTGGTTGCTAGCTACAACCTCGACCGATCAATCGAAGCGGGTGATAAATATCTAAAACAGTTTTACGACGTCCAATGAAGCGTCGTAGGGGTAGGTACAGTCACATAGCTCGTTTATAGGACTCACTATAAGCGTTAACTAGATCTTATAATCTAGAAACCACAGATCCGGTTTCTCTGATTATCAAACATTTTAAGTATGGATTTACTCACGGTTGTCTAAGTACCAAACATTTTCAGTATGGATTTACTCACAGTTTCTCTGATTACCAAACATTTTGAGTATGGATTTACTCACAGTTTCTCTGATTACTAAACATTTTGAGTATGGATTTACTTACGGTTCTCTGATCACCAAACATTTGAGTATAGATTTACTCACGGTTTCTCCGATTACCAAACATTTTGAGTATGGATTTACTCACGGTTTCTCTGAATACTAAACAGTTTGAGAATGGATTTACTCATGGTTTCACTGATTACCAAACATTTTAAGTACGGATTTACTTATGATTCCTCTGTCTATCAAATATTTTAAGTATGAATTTGCTTACGATTTCTCTTTTATCAAACATGGTTCAAACTACAAAAAGAATACTTTTTAGTCTTTTAAAGTATCATTACTGCGGTTAGCAGAAAACCTGTAAACTCTCACCAACCTTGTGTTGACCCTCGAAAATACATGTATTCTCAGGATATCACCAAACGAGCTATCAGTCAGAAGATTAGTCATGGATTTCAGGCGACCTAGTTTTATCTAGCTATTATTATATCGGCCTATCTGTTATGGCAAATTTATGAATTTTTTATTCTGAACCTTGTATTCAAACCTTAAAGTGTAATGTAACTGCTATGTTGTTATTGTTGTAACTTGTGATGTATATTCAATTTGCTTGTGATCCATGAACTAAGTCGCACGGCCCGGTGTATTCCGCCGCCTTGGCCAGGGGTGTGACAGTTTATGACACGCAAATGCGTGTCATCTTATTTTATGACAGGGGCTTTAGTGATACGCAATGCGTGTCCTAAACGCGCGTCGTAAGGTTACGACACACAAATGCGTGTCATCTTCCTTTATGACAAGGCCTTCCTTGACACACAATGTGTATCGTAAACGCGCGTCGTAAATGCGTGTCGTAATTGCGCGTTGTAAATGTCCGTCGTAAATAGACGACGTGCAAAAGAGTGCTGTCTCTCGTTATAAAAGGCTGTTTTTCTAGTAGTGTGTCGTGGTCTCATGAATGATACTCACTGATTGGAAGTATATGAGATTCATATATTCACCTCCCCTATCAGTCCTAAGACATTTAACTGGATTGCCCAATTGCAATTCCCTCGGTTTTATATATTTTGAATTTATCTAAGGATTCGTCCTTAAAATGTAACAAATACATATAGCAAAACCGAGTGTAGTCATCAATGAAAGTGACTACATACTTTTTATTTCCCAAAGAAGTAGTGGAGTGAAAATCACACAGGTCACTGTGTACAAGTTCCAAAACAGCTGAATTTCTAGTGGCACTAGGAAAGGGTTGTTTTGTTACTTTTGTAAGCATGCATGTTTTACATTTATCAGATGTCATATCAAAGGCTGGAATGAATCCATCTTTTGACATCTCATGCATCCTTCTAAAGTTGACATAACCTAATATTATATGCTAAAGCCTAGATTTATCAACATTAGAAGCAAAAGATACAAATGCAGAATTTTGAACAAGTAATAATTTGTCAACAATATTCAAACGAAACATTCTATTATTTAAATATCCAAAGCCGACAAAAATTCCACCGTTAGATAATATGAACTTATCCGACTCAATAACTTGTTTAAAACCAACAGAATTCAAACAACTAGAACTAACAAGATTTTTGCGAATCTTGGGAACAAACAAAACATCAAAAAGCCTAATTGTCTTTCTAGAAGTAAATTCAAGACACACGAAACCATCACCACAAATAGGAATAAAAGAATCGTCTCCCATTTTCAGCACCGACCCATCTTCAAGCGGAGCTAATTTTTCAAACATACGTTTATACTTGCATACATGGTTCGTTGCCCTGGAGTCGATCCACCAAGCAACATCATCATCCTGTACATAGAATGATTCAGAAATGAATGAAACATAGTAAACATAATTCTGATTAGAATTATAAAAGTTAGTAAAAAACTGACCTCCTTTAACTTGGGCCGAAGACCCGTTCACCTTTCCATTGGCTCCACTGTTTCCAGCATCATTGTTGCCTAAGTTTACACGACAATCACACTTTCAATGCCCAACCTGATTGCACCTTCAACAAACCATATCCTTTTTCTTTTTGTTAGAGTTTCTTGGGACATGTTCCTTCTTAGATTTTCCATGTCCTTTGTGGTTCTGATTTCTTGGTTTGTTTTCAACCATATGAACCGAGGGCTGTCCAGATGCAACTTTTCCTTTGGGTTTATCCGATTTGTCACTTTGCTTCGCACCAAGAGATTCTTCAATACGAATATGACTCGCAAGTTGAACCAAAGACAGTTCATCATTTTTATGTTTTAAGTTATGTTTGAAGTCTTTCCAGGATGGAGGAAGTTTGTCAATGATGGTTGACACAACAATGGATTCATCCATATTCATACGGTGCAGTTTAAACTGACCATATATGCCAAGGAGTTCATTGTATTGTTCAGTGACATACCTTGAATCTTCCATCTTATAATTACTAAAATCACTGACCATAAACTTCTTACTAGAAGCGTCCTCAATGATGTATTTCAATTCAAGGGTGTCCCACAACTCCTTGGCACACAAGGCTTCACTATGGATATCAAATAGAGCATCAGACATACCGTTCAGAATGTGACTTTTGCAGATGTAGTCATTGTTGTCCCACTTCTGTCTCCTCCTTATCTCTTCAATTGTCTCAGTAGCACTTTCCTCAACATCTGGTGCTCTTGGAGTAGTAAGTATGTATGTTGCTTTCAGAGTAGTCAGCATGAAGTGCATCTTCTTCTTCCAACGCCTGAAATCGATGCCTTCGAACTTCTCCAGCTTTGCAAACTTCATGGTCATCTCGCAGATTGAGTCTCCCATCTCCAGAAACAAGAATATTGGTTCGATTGTTGGAGGAACAAGGTTTTATTTTGGAGATCTGGATACCTATTGGATCGTGTGAACACTTTCTGAACTGATATTTCTACCCTATGCACGGGTTGCAAAACATTCAGCCTAGGATAATCCAAGATGACACTTACAAATCTGGGCACAGAAGTCGTAAGCCAAATTGCTATAAGGATTCTATGTTCGTTTGAAGAAAAAGAGAGTTAATGATTTTCATGTCCCTCTTCTCAAAGAGAAGAGTCGTTTGTATAATAAACGAGATTAGGGTTTCATTAGGGTTAGCCGTCATGGGTTGCTTTAGAAACAAGTCAAGGAAATTCAGATTTTAATGAGGATTTAGGGTTTCCAAAACTGACGAATTTCGTCAGTTTTACCATAATCACCCTCAAGAATTCGTTTTTCCCACTATGTTCCCATATATATATATATATATATATATATATATATATATATATATATATATATATATATATATATATATTTCGGAGAGTTTTTGGGGCACTGCCCCTCGACCCCCCCCCCTCCCCGCTAACCTGGCAGCGGGACCCCAGCCAGGGGCTCTGCCTCTTGGACCCCGCTAAGGGCGCTGCCCCTAGACCCCGCCAAAGGGGCTTTGCCCCCGGACCCTCGACTTGTTGTCGAACCGGCTTCTAATTCGATCTTATATATGCGTGCACTCCGCACAAATCCGTACATATATTAGAGTACTATGAAGCCCTTAACTCACATGTTAGTTCAAATTACTAAAATCACCAACATGTGGCCTCCTGTTAACGCCATTAAAGTGAAAAGAACACCACCCCCTTTAATGCCCATTTTTTCCCATTGCCACTCCAACGCCCATCAACGTTCGTTTCTCTCTTCTTCATCTCTGCTTTTCTTTTTTCTTGGTCTCACAACTGCGTTTTCATGTACAAACACCATCCCCACAACGGCGTTAAAAGCTTGATGATGATGTGGCACCGTGGTAACTAGTACCCATACCCAACAATCTAAATCTAAATAGACTTTGAGAACAAGATGTTAGTATCTTGATTCTTGAAACTAACTTGGCAACATAATAAAGACATGTTAGTTAATAATCATTAAAGTTAGCATTAAAAGGATAAAGATAAAAAAAAATTTAAAACAAATCTCGTTTGATATTGTGACAGTTTGTTTGAGTTCTTAAGGGGAAGAAATCGACGAGAAAACGGAACCGGATTTTCCATAGCGGTAAATAT